TCTTAAAAAAAAAAAAAAGTGATACAGGGGGATACTTTTCTAAGCTTGGGCCTCTAGGAAATAACCCAGGGCAAGGATTGGGATGCTGTTACCTGTCCTGGGTGGTATCGACCCAGGGTGGTGAGAATGAGGACAAATTGAAATGAGGTGAGGATGTGAAGCAGAAGAAGTGTGTGTTACTGTACTGGCCATCAATTCACCAAGAGCTGAGAAAGACAATATAGCAGGTTGCCTGGCAGGGATTTTTGTATGGCTTATAAACACAGGGGTAGCATGCCTTAGGGAGAAAAAGAGAAAATGATTGCCTGGCTTCTTTCTCCTCTTGTCTCCTACTGGTCTACTCCAAAGGAGTTAACTCCCTTGCACTTTCAGGCTGTATCATCTCGTTCCTTACATTGCCAATTGGAATGCTTGATTCCATGTCCCATAGTGTGGTGTTTCATCCTAGTCCAGATGGGGCAGGAGCCTGAAGGCCTGGCATCCCCAGGCAAGTGACCGGTTGGCCTCCAGTACCAGTGCCTTTGGAAGGAAGGGGGTAGTCAGGGGACCCCAAGGAGATACAAGAGGTTTGTATCCAATACAATCCTGAAGGACAGACAGGATTCTGAGAGGCAGAGATGAAAGAGGAAGGCGTTTTAAAATGAGCAGTGACATAAAGGAAGAAACATGTGTGCTGCATTTAAGATAAAGCAAGTGCCTTGTTGGCTTCAACAGAGATGTGACCATTTCTTAGCCCATATTTTCTTGGCTTGTGGTTATTCTTGAGTTTTTTCCCCTTTTAAAAGGTACTTCAAATATATAACTAAATGTTTATTCCTTCATTAGATTTTTTTTTTTTTGTATGAATAAATAGGTGGAAGAGGAGGCTGGAAATGGAAGACTCCAGATGTGAAGCCGTCCTTGATTCAGTCAACAGTAGGGGTCACGGAGGGTCTTGAGCAGGGAGTGGGGAGTACAAGAGTGAGGGGGAAAGGATGATGGGGTTTAAGTCACTCCCTATAGTTCATCATTCATTTCTGCTTGATAGCCTCACACAACTTCCCTTTTGCTATATTGGTGGTAGCAATAACAATAGAAGTATGAGCAGTAACAGTAACAACCACCACAACCATGGCTCATCCCATAGCTTCATTCACATCTCTGTTCCAATGTCACTTTCTCCAAGGCCTTCCTGACCATCTGATCTCAACTATAAACTGGCATCTCCCTACTCTGGTTAGTCTCTAGCTTCTTGCTCTGCTTTATTGTTTTAATAGCATTAAGTTAGCAGACATCATATTATATATGTATTCATTTAGTTGTTTTCTGCCTGTTTGCCTTACCAGAAAACTTCATAAACTCAGAGACTTTGTCTTCACCAGTCACTGCGGCACTGTTCTAAGCACCTGATGGGGTTCTAATGTAACTTCATTGAACCGTATGTGTGCTGTGTGTGAACTGTATGATGCTGATTCTTTGTAATCTGTTGATGCTTGCTTTATTGATTGGTTCATTGTCAGTTTTTGAAAATATTCCATGTGTGCCTGAAACAACATGCATTTTTAAGTTTTTTGATGAAATATTCAGTTTATGTGTATTAGCTCAAGCCAGTTGTGTTTTTCAAATCTATAATTATTTTACTAAAATCTATATCATTAATTTTTTTGCCTACTGAATCTATTAATTACTGAGGGAAATATGTGTGTTTTTGAATTTTTTTATTATGTTATGTTAATCACCATACATACTGAGGGAAATATGTTAAACTTCCCACTATGATTGTGGATTTGTCAATTTGCCCTTAAATTTTTATTAATTTTTCATAATGTATCTAAGCTTGTGTCATAAGTTGCAGACAAGTACAGAATTTAAAAATTTTCCCAATAGGGGCACCTGGATGGCTCAGTTGCTTAATCATCCAGCTCTTGATTTTGCTCAAGACATGATCTCAGGGTCATGAGATTGAGCCCCGCGTCAGGCTCTGCGCTGAGGGTGGACCTGCTTAAGATTCTCTCTCTCCCTCTTCCCCTCCCCCTTGCTCTCTTTCTCTCTCTAAAATAATAAATAAATAAAATTTTTCTCAATAAATTATTGGATTTTTTTATTATGTAGTGATACTCTTTTTTTTTTTTTTGGGGGGGGGGAGAGAGAGAGAGAGAGAGAGAAAGACAGTACCCCTGCTTGTGGTAGAGGGGCTGTTGGCCACGGGCATGGGCAGAGGGAGAGGGAGAGAAAGAATCTTAAGCAGGCTCCATGCCCAGTGCAGAGCCCCAGCCTGGCTTGATCTCAACAACCCTGAGATCATGACCTGAGCTGAAACCAAGAGTCAGTCACTTAACCAACTGCGCCACGCAGGTGCCCCTGTAGCGATACCCTTTATCCTTAATTTACCTAATACTGCTTTTTACCAGCTTTCCTTTGCCTAGAATATCTCTTCAACCCTCTTGCTTTCAACCTATGTCCTTACATTTTTTTAAAAAAGTGTGTTCTTGGGGCGCCTTCGTGGCTCAGTTGTTAAGCGTCTACCTTTGGCTCAGGTCATGGTCCCAGGGTCCTGGGATCGAGCCCTGCGTCGGGCTCCCTGCTTGGCGGGAAGCCTGCTTCTCCCTCTCCCACTCCACCTGCTTGTGTTCCTTCTCTCACTGTGTCTCTCTCTGTAAAATAAATAAATAAAATCTTTTAAAAAAAAAAGTGTGTTCTTTATAATAGTGCTTTTAAAAAAAGCTTAGTCCTGTTTCTTTGTGTTTTAATTCATGATTTTAGTCCATTGTGATTAACAATGTATGGAATGTTTCTACCATTGTATTTTGTTACACACCTTTTTCTCCTTTCCCTGCTTTCTTTTTCTGGTTTTTGAGTGAATGGTGGACAATATATATGAAATAGTGGAGAGACGTTGGGTGATACTATCTTCTTCTGGAGAGGATCTAATTTTTTTCTGGGTGGTACTTACAGTAAGGGCAGATCATCTTGAACTAATGGGGGACTGAGTTGGTTTAAGGCTGGTTTCAGACTTTGTGAAGGCTGGTCTAGTTCCCGTTTGCCTTTATATCTAAGAAGTAGTCCTTGAGGGTTTCCAAAACCCTTCTTTATCTTTGTGAATCTTCTGAAAACTCTGCTTAGTTTTTAACCTCTTAGCAGTCACCTTCTCCTTAATGTCTTCCCCTGAACAACTTAGGATTCAGTAAGTGCCTCAAGGGTAAAAGCCACACAGAATGTTAGACTCACTTCTCTTTTGTTCCCTTTTTTACTGGAAAATTTTCCCAAGTCCTGGCTGCCTTTGTAGCCCTGAACTGTAATTTTTGTCTTGTGAGCCCAGGAAAAGTGCTGCAAGCTCTAGGCCAGGGCATTCTGCTTATGTCAACTGCCCTGAGAGGAACACACCATGCAGAATGTTTGGCTCATCTAGAGCATTCCATTTCTTTCCAGGGTCTGGCTCCTCAAGTGCTGACTGCCTTTGTTTGCCTTAGCTGATCTCTGATATCTTCAAAGACCTACTCTTCTTTCTTTCTTTCTTTCTTTCTTTTTTTTTTTAAATTTTACTCAGATTTTACGTTGTTCAAATGTTTCCGTGTTCTCTGCACAGCTGTGGAAAGTGGGAGATTTAATGTGAAATAGGCTTACTCCATTGTAGTTGGAAGCTGAGGTTTTATTCTTGCATTTTTAATTTCAATCACATTTTTCCCTTAAAATTCTATTTGGTTGGTTTTCAAATCAGCATCATCTTTTTTTTTGGATAGTATCCTTTTTCTATCTTATGTTTTTCCATTCCTTTCTTTATGATTTTAATCTCTTAAAATATACTTATAGTTTGAATCCTTTTAGATTATCTGAAAATCTCAGGGGTGTAATTTCACTGTATCTTATCTGCCGACTCTTAGTTTGCATTTGCTTCTGCCAGATGCCCCAAGAGTGTATAAGCAGCTGAGAACCAATTTTTATGTTAATTTCTTGGCTTGGGATTTCTGAAGCCATACAGATATTGCATATTTGAATCCCAAATGTAGGTGAGCAGAAAGATATGATTATGGAATAAGAAGAGAGATATTTTTTTCTCTGCTCAGAAGTTCAGACCTGTACAGATCAACTTTCTTGTCATTTTGTTTACTTGTGAGTGGATGTTTCTTAGGTCATTCTTTCAGTTAAGGTACAAACCACATATGGGATTCTGACATATTTGTATCTATATATTCCAATTCTTCACATTACATGGGCTCAAGGTCTTGGCTCTTGCTTCTATGAGGCCATTAAAGCCATAGCATTGCTTACTGAGCTCAGCCCAAACCCCTAGGGCAACTGAGAAATCAGTACCTGCTGCCCACTCTGCTTTTCAGTTTTCTGTTTGTACAAACCCTCAGGGATTTGCTTCATTTTCTTGTAAGCTCAGCTGTGCATATGTGAAGATATTTATAGACTTTATTCCACATTTTTTGGATTTTTTTAGGTAAATGTTTTCAAGTTGTCTAGTTCTCTGTAATTCCAGAAACAAAAGTCTTAACTGACATAATTTATATTACTGGCTTATACATGTTATCTATTATTAAATATCATCAACATTATTATTTCTACAAATACATAAACCTGAATATTTGGATTTAATATATATAATAGGTTTTATATATATATATAACATTTATAGAACATATAACTATATATGTTCTATAAAAATATATATTACATAAGTACATTTAACATATATGTAACATAATATGTAATAGATTATATACAATAGATTACAAAGCTTTATGATAACTGGTCTATCAACTGAGTGTATGGTTAGTAAATACAGTACTATGTAGATCATGCTACAGAAACAAAATAATATTTGGCCTATTGAAATAGTGTAAACCACATCACTCTTTTCCCAACTACATGTTCTGCTGACTTTAAAACTCCTGTTTCCTCAGGAGAACTAGAAAATGCTATGGATTTGTAGCTATACCCATATATATTATTTGTATTAGAAATCAAAACTTTTATATTTTGCATGAAATTTTATGTCCTTTTTTGCCTTTTTGTAGGAGGATACTTCATCGAGACTTGAAATCAAAGAATATATTTCTGAAAAACAATCTGCTTAAAATTGGTAAGATTTTTAAAAATATGTATTCTAGAAACATGGGAGAATATATTCTAGATGTTATCAATATATCATATGGAAATATATAGTACCTAGAAGTGTTAGAGTAATCACTGGTTTATTTTAACTTCTCAAACTTTTGTTTTTCTTGAGTGGGGCCAACAAAACCCAATTATTTTGTTTCTGAGTATCTGATATAAATTGAAGTGTAAGACATTTGCTACATACTTCATAGATTGAACTAATAATTTTTGAGTTCCTACTCTATGCCAGGCACTTTGCAAGTAGTTAGAGTTGTTTTACTGACTTGGTTAATTAGTACAGGTTTCCTGTTTATTTTATCACAAGCAATTAGCAGTTATCACAGATAATTAAAATATTGGTATCATGGATTTGTTAATTTTTGGTTCTTCTTCAGAACTGTACCTCCACTCGTAACAGTTACTGGATTGTTGTTCTTCCTGTAAGATGTTCTTAGAGAGGGAAAGCCTAAAAGCATGCGACTAGTTAGCTGAGTAAAGAGAATTTAATGGATTCAAATTTTTATAGTCATGTTCTTGAAGAGTCTCAGGTCTTTTATTTGAAATCTTTTCTTTATTGTAAATGAAGAACAAACTCTCCCCCCTTGGATGAAATCACAAATCATTATATTCAGCTCTCCAGAATCATTTTGCTTGTTGTTAGGCAGACCTGAAATAGCTTTTTGTTTCAAGTTGCTGGTTCTCTGTAATTCCAGAAATAAAAAGCTTACATAATTCACTTTCCTGGCTCAGTCTTCCTTCTCCTATAAGGCCTATGTTTTTAAAGCTATTCACTAGCATTATGTAATTTAAAAGATACCATTTTTCTTTTCTTTCCCTTTAAATGGTATGAGTCATTGCATATTAAAATTGTCAAATTAGACAGTTGTTAATTTCCAAGCTGATTTTCATTGCTTTAAAGTATTCATAAAAATTAATTATTATTTCAAGGGGATTTTGGAGTTTCTCGACTCCTAATGGGATCCTGTGATCTAGCCACCACTTTAACTGGAACTCCCCATTACATGAGTCCGGAGGCTTTGAAACACCAAGGCTACAACACAAAGTCAGACATCTGGTGAGTGGGCAGTGGGCTAGTCCAGATGATGTATACATCTGCTGCATTGAGAGAACAATGTGTTTCGTTTTTAGGCTCATTTACTTGCTACATCCGCTCACTTTATCCTTTTGAAGTATGAGTCATTCTTTGACCAGAGTAAAGGAGGGTTTTTTGGATTTGGAACTTGATTATTTCCATTATATTGATTTCAGAAATTCACTTTATTTATAGATAATTGGTTGGTTTGGATTTTTTTCTTCTTGAACCACAAAGAAAAGTTCTTAATGTATCATAAACATGTTAATAGGTTTCTGTTAGCCTATTAAATAAAGTATTTGTAATCCTAAACACTGTGCTTTATTTTATTTAAGATCAGCTTCTACCTCTGTGGGGAATGAACGGCTTTATTTATTTTTTTCTTCTTGACACTTATAAGAATTTTTACTGAAGATACTAGCTTTTAAGAATAAACTTAAATAAAAAAATTTCTGGGTTTTCAATGATAGGTGCATCTGAGATTTCTCCATTTATCTGAGCTTTTGTACCAAAGGAATTTCTCATTCTTTGTCATGGAACCAGTTTAAATCTCAGTGCAGAAGCCATGTGGAAAATTGTATTCTATTGTTAGCAATAGATCCTATTTAGGGAAAATCTCTTTTCCTTTAAAGAGGAATCATATCATTTTCAGCTTGTTAAGGGTTGAAAGGACAATCTAGCTAGCTTTCAAAGATGAGCAATGTGAAAGATTATGTCTACTTCATTCTTCTAAAGACGGTAAAGTAGAAAGTTACCTTTTCCGTGGTTAGGGAAAAGTGAGCACAACAGGGGATATCCCTTTGGATTTTCATAAGGGTCATTACCCATGTTCTTGTTCTGGTGCCTCCCAAGTGGAAGAGAACACTGTCAACATTAGGTCTGGCTATGGCAGATAACCATCCATTCTGTCCCTTCACTTGACTCTTGGGATTATTCATTTCTAGGTCTTCAGTGTTTCTTTTTTTTTTTCTTTTTTCATTGTTTCTACCCTGATGGTCTTTTCCAATTTACCTATCGTATTTTCTCTAATCATAACCTTCCCCTAATACCCTCCCCCAAAACCAAAACCAAAATAATAGACAAAAACCACAAAGGTATGTTCAGGGAAATGAGTTTCTTTACATTTTGCTTTATTGAGCATCTACTATTTGCCAGTGACTATGTAATAGCCCTTACGGTATAAAATTTAAAAAAATAATAGGATTCCTGCCTCTGAGGAAGTCTTCTTGCTCTTTTTAGAGTGCTTTCTTCAGTTTGAGATCAGTCTTGGGCTTCGGATTGGGTTTGAGTTACCTATTTACATCTCTTTTTATACTTAATTTTTTTATTATGGGCATTTAAAAAAGATTCAGGGGTGCCTGGGTGGCTCAGTCAGTTAAGCATCTGCCTTCGGCTTGGGTCGTGATCCCGGGGTCCTGGGATTGAGCCCCGCATCAGGCTCCCTGCTCAGTGGGGAGTCTGCTTCTCCCTCTCCCTCTGCCCCTTCCCCCACTCCCATTGCTCTCTGTCTCAAATAAATAAAAATCTTCAAAAAAATAAAAATAGATTCAAATATATAATTTCTTCATGATTAAAATTACATGCTATGCCAGAAAGCTGTTTACGTCATGTCATTTGAATTAAGACTAAATTAATTTATGAAGACTATCATTAAGCCTTTGGCATTACATGTAGCAAGAAAGCTGGCTCTTTGGGACAGTTATCTACATCTGCTTGCCAAATCAGATGTGTCTCCCCAGAAACCTGGGCAACAGTACCCACAGACAGAGGAGTAAAGCATATAGTCTTTTTGTCTCAGTTGTGTCTATCGTAGTTATTTTTTTAAAAAACTACTCCTAGTATTTCATAAAGATTTATAGGAATATTCCTAATATGGGAATTATAGGACTTTCATAAAGAATATAGAAATTATCAGGAATATCAGAATTATAGGGTTATAGAATAATAGTAATAGTATTGCTATAATGTTTTAGGTTTATAAAAATAATACCTGACTCAGACAAAACTTAAAAAATCAAAAACCTCCCAAATATAAAAATACAGGCGAATTTTAATATATTTTGTGTAAGCATTAGGTCAGCTCTCCTTGCAGAGATTATTAACTATTCAGCAAGTACAAGCTAAGGATTTATCATCATCCTGACCCCAAATAATCACCTTATTATGAATTTAGTAATTACCTTGGTTGTATCCAAATCAAAATGAGCTTATCTGGTAATGAAATTTCTATTGCTGAACCTAAAGTGGAAAGAATAACAGAGAACTATTAATTATAGCGGCAGATACATAAGTGTGATGAGTTATCTTTGGGAGACATTCTTAGAAAAATTAGATTGAATGGGGTTGAGAATTTTTTTCTGAATCTCAGTATGTAGCATCTGTTTACTGTGGAATATTTTCTTACAATTGGAAACACTTGTGAATAATTGACAGGTGTTTTGTTTTAGCACTAATAGCTGTACATATTATATTTATAATGCTTAATGAAGAATTGGTATAATACTAATTCTATTTCATCTGTTAATGTTTGCCCATTGTAACCTTTCCTCTCTCTGCAATCTGTTAAACCTTTTGGGATTCATTTATTTATAGCAGTCAAATGCAGATAAGTCTCTCTTAAAAGTAGTTTAGGGTCTAGAAGTTTATAAACACTTACTCAGAAAGTTAGGATAATTAGGTTCATTGAGGACAATACTTTGAATACTGCCAATTTATATAAGCAATTGCTGAACACTTTTTCCCACACAGGAAAAATATAATATATGAGTTGGTTTCCTAGGCCATCTCTTTAAATTGATTTAAATTATGAATGGTTAGAATTTATTATTTTGGTAGGAGAAACAAAGGACAATAATATTGGAATAATGGTGCTATAATTAAACAGAAAATAAACAATATTTCATTGTTGGTGTTATCTGTCTTGTTGTGAGAAGTCAACCAGATGGTTCTTGATCTTGTGGCCCTATATTCCTTAGGTGATTTAAGTGGAGGGAATGGTGGTAGGAAGAGTAGGGGTGTCAGAGTATACTGTGAAGGTCTCAGGATTTTGCAAAAACCTGAGATCTGGTCCAAGGGTTGGCTACGTAAGGGACACTGTAAGAGTCTAGTTCACACTCAACCCTGGAGTCAGACTTTAGTGATGTTGGGCAGAAACATCAGACAAGGCTTAGCTATAGGTAGAAGAAAACAAGAGAGGAACCAGTACCTGCCTGACCTACAAGAACTAAGAAAGTATCCTCACAGGAGAGCGTTCCCAAATTGGACAGGGAAAGGGAGCAGGGTGGGATTTAGGAAAGGGAGAAATACAGACTAACTTGGCAGCAGTTTTTGTAGCTAATGTGGGGCCTGTAAGTTGCTGGTAGCCAACAGCCCCATCTTGGTGAAGGATGCTCTGGAGCAAGAGAGCCCATTTCTCTCCCCTCCCATGATCTGAAAAATTCTTATGTGGATTTAGAACTAAGCTGTTGGGCAGGGCATGCCTTCCTAGGCAGTGAGAACTGGTGTCATTGTCATTATTTTCACTCAACAGAAGCTGAAGTAGGAAAACATTTCATTCAAGTGCAGTAGATATGGGTATTAATACCTTTTCTCAATGACTAGCATAAAATGACTGATACAAAATCTGAAGATAATATCTAGCCTGGTCAGTTTTACAAAGGTCACAATACAACTGCAGCAACAGAACCAGAATTGCTACTGTCTATGGAGTGCTTACTCTATGATTGACAGTTAATGTGCTAAGTGCTTTATATACCTATATAAATGTATTTATTTGTTACTACAAAAAAAAGCATACTATATATATTTTACAACCTGCCTTTTTTTTACTTGCAAAAGGAAATATTGTACTGCCTTAACAAAATATATCTAACTATCATTTAAATGTTTGCATAGTATTTTATACTTGGACATAATAATTTTTCAACCAATGTTTAATAAACATTGTTTAATGTTGTCTTTGAAGATTTTCTCTTTGTTTTTGTCTTTAAAGCATTTTTAGGGCACAATGTGTCTGGGTGTGGATTTACATTTATCCTACTTGGAGTTGGTTGAGCTTCTTGGACATGTAGATTAATGTGGTTCACCAAACTTGAAAAATTTTCAACCATTATTTCTTTGAGTATTTTTTTCTCTTTTCTCTCTCTCCTTGCCTTCTGGTACTCCCATTATGTGCATGTGGTTGTGCTTCATGGTCTCCCACATTTCTCTAAGGCATTGTTAATTTTTCTTCATTTTTCTCTCTGTTCTTTAGATTGCATAATGTCTGTCAATCTATCTTCAAGTTCATTGATTCTTCTGCTAGTTAAAGTCTACTCTTGAGCCCCTTTGGTGAATTTTTTTTTTCAGTTATTGTACTTCTCAACTCCAGAATTTCTATCTGGTGCTTTTTTATAATTTCTATCTCTTTATTTATATTCATCATTTGGTGTGACATTTATATCATACTTTATTTATTTAAACATGGTTTCCTTTAGTTCTTTGAACATATTTATAATGCTGCTTAGAAGTCTTCCTCTGTTAAATCTGACATCTGAGACTTCTCAGGTAGTTTCTGTTTCCTGCTTCCCCCCCCCCCGTGTATAGATATTTTCCTGTTTCTTTGCATATCTCATAATTGGTAAAAACTGGACATTTTGGATAGTATATTGTATCAACTCTGAACACTTATTTTCCTCGCTGCCCCCACCTATCTGGGGCTTGGTATCATTTGCTTCTTTTTTCATTTAGTGACATGCCTGGTTATTCTAGTGAAACCTATTTCCTTTCCAGTGTGAAACCTCTAGTGTTAATCCTCAGAGTATAGCCTTGGGCACATGCACAGTTAGCCTTGGGACAGTAGTTTTAGCAAGGCTTTCTGTCCCTTTCTCTGTTCTCTCTGTTGAGCTATTTCTGCTGGTATTACATCCTTGTTAGCCTTCACTAATTGCCAACTCATTGCTTTATTATTTTCAATGATTCCTTGAGGCATGCATTGCTCTCCA